CTTCCACAGGAAGAATGACAAACTGGGCTGGGAGTGGTCTCGGGACGAGTGGCATATGTCTTGCTCACTGAGCAGTGCAACCTTTGCTAGGTGGCCAGTCCTGTGAGAGCTTGGCTGTGAGGATTAGGGAATGAAGATATAGCCATGGAAAGCCTGAACAGAGATACGACCCAGAGTCCCAAGTCAACCCAAACAGAGGTTTAGGATGAACAGGGGGCTTAGCCATCCTGGTTCAAAAGAGCATGTATCATCTACAAAGAGGTTGGTCTTCAGTAAGGGAGGAGTGCTCTTCATTTATGGTTGCAGCACAGTGTGGTTTAGCTGATAGTTCGGGCTGCCATTCGGTTGAGCTTTTTTAGAAGGAAATTTTAGCCCTCAGACCATGAGCTGATCCAGCCCAGCACTATCTCCTAAGCCAGGCAGTCACTTTCTCAAGTTCTCCCCCAGCTGTGCTACCCTAGGGTTCTTGAGCTGGAAGTGCTTGGAATTGAGGCCTGCTGAATGTATTGGAAAGCATATCTTTCATCAGTAAACAACGACTCCATGCTGATCTGTTGTGTTGTTGTGTGGTCTTGCTCCTGCTATTCCTGTAAGGCTGCAACTAGCTATTTCATCTACATTTGAAGAGACTTGTCCACTGCAGGCATTTGAAGATCTTTTAGCTTACTGGGTTCCAGCATGGCTAGCAGATGCATGCAACCTATAGAGCAAAGCACGGTTACAATGTGGTCTTTCTGGTGGTATCCAGTAGCTGGATATGAAGTCTAGGTACTGAAGCAAATGCAAGTTCAAAAACAGATTTGCCAGCATTAAAAATGGTCAGAATTAAAAAGGAATCGTGGCCTCAGGTCCTGCAAAATGTGGCATTACATGGCAAGGCTTCTCTGCAAAACTCTGGCTTTAAAAGTTGTTTGTCTAAAAATGTCAGAATTCTGCTGTGCTGCAAGAACTTATGAACCACTTTGGCTGGATCAGCTCAAAGAACCATTTGATCTAGAATGCTTAATCTGAGAATCTTGCCTGCCTCTCCGTTCACAACGGTACCTCTGTCTTGTAGCTTTGCCAAGAATGCTCTTTCAATAACCAATGTACCATATTTGGACAGACAGGCTGGAAAACAAAGTCTTTTTACTTTCCCTTTGGAGTTTTGCCAATATTTCAGCATATTTGGGAATAACTAAAATTTTGTCAGCATGGCTTTAAGGAGCTTGGATTCAGTTGTGCCAGTCTCTGTGATAAAGTGGGTCAAAATGATTCTGCACAAAGAGAATTGTGCATCGAGTTCAGTCTAAATTATGCACACATGCATATACTTTAACCGGCACAATTTATTCTGCTTGAACTAAATGTGAGGGAAGGGCAAAGAACGACGATGTTGTTGAGCAGATTTTAGAACTTGCATTTCATCAGGCCCTTGTAAGACAGTTATTGCCTGCCCCAAGCATTCAAGAGACAGCCCATACCTTTCACAAAAACAAAAATGAAGTTCCCAGCCACATGAGCAGAGTTTGATTTTCAAGTCTTTGCAAAGCTCCCCTTGTTCCACTGGCAGATGCAATTTCAAATCCCCTTTTCTTTTTGCATTTTTTTCCAGCTCTAGTGAGCGCTTCATTGCTCTCCCTGCTTCAGAGATTGGCAGAGAGCAGACAGATCTCCCGTGGGCACGAGCAGGAGCTCTGGCGTCGCTTGCGTGTCACTGTGGTGATGGGAGCACTTGGTCTCCTTTGGTCTGTGGCTAGAGCATTTCTGCATTATTGAATGCTAACCCAGTGGAAAGGCAAGCAGCCAGACCACACTTCTACCTCCAGTGTGCTGCCTGCAAAGCTGGCAGATCTTGTGCGCTTCCTACCTGCTGTTGGTATTAATGGGCTTTTTGGCAGCATGGCTTTGCACCCATCTGTTTAAATGGCCTGCAGGTCAGCCCAAGCCTGGAAGACTGAGTACTTTGACTGGGCTCTCAGATGGATTGCAGGCAATGGCTTCTGAAGCCCCGAGAAATCACAAAAGCCCTGCTGGGTTACGCAGTGTTCTTTTTCCACTGACACCAGCTGCTGGGGGCGGGAGGCCTGGCACAATGGGCTAAGTGACCCAGCTGGAGCTCTGCTCTCCGCATTATCATTTGGGTGAGCGTTTTTAAAGGCAGCCACCAGTTCTTTGTGATGTGCGTTTTTCCCTCCCTTTCCTTTGGCTACTTGCTTTTCTTAAACCTAGCAAATTTAAATAGGTTAACATACATTTAAGTGCCTGATTCAGATGTTGGAGAATGTGTTCTTTCCTAGCTTTGTGTTTCTGTTAGTTTTGGGGGGGGGGGGTTGTTTTTGAAAGCATGTTGCTAGTCCTTTCAGCTGGGACTATATTGCTGTGATTATGTTGTTAGGACTTTGCAAAAGGCTGCAAACATTGAGAAGGGGGAAGAAGCTGTGCTTCTGAGTTTTTCATAGCTACAATTCTACCCCCCTAGTCTCAGGCTTCTTTTGCCACAATTTTTCTTGGCAAATTTATGGCCTAAACCATTGCTATCCTGTCTTCAACAAAAGTGGAGATTTTGTAAGATGCCAAATTCTACATCAGTTTCAGTGTTTGCGTGGGGAAGTCACAGCCACATAGAACATACCCCAAGTTGCAAAGAGCAAAATGAAATGCCCACATCTGCCTTGCGATTAGGGATATGGAAAGGGGAGGGTGGCCCCATGAGCCTAGCTAAGGACTAGCTTATCTCTAAGGACTCAGTGTAGCAAAACAATGTTTTATTGCAGATCCTTGAAGCACAGGGGTGTAGAAACAGGACCTTGGGAACCGAGGATGGATTTGCCTAGCATGCAACTGCCTCTGTCACGGCATTTCAGCAGCAGCAGCCTGGCTCGGCAGTGGGCATGAGGACTGCACGAGGCTGAGCTGCTTTTTAACATACACCGATAGGCCATCTGTTCTAGCACCATCAATCCTGGCTGGCGGGATATCTCTGATCCAGCTGTCCAGGGTACTTAGAAAATCCCCCCCACCCGTTAGTTACTGGAACGTCAATGGACTGACTCTCAGTGCATGTGGAACATAAGCTGCAGCACCACACTTGAGCCTACTCCTGATTACAGCTGCTCCTCCAACACTGCTGCACACTTCCCCAGTCTGGGGACTTTCCAAATGTGTTTGGGTACAGGTCCCATCCTCCCCAGCCAGCATGCCAGCTGGGAATGCTGGGCACTGTTGCCCAATAGGATGGGCACAGCCCTGCCAGGTTGGGAAGGGTTAGAGTCATGCATCATGCTGCCCAAGCACCTAAGGCAATCCTGCCCCCTTGTGGTCCGAAGGGAATTAGCACCAGGGCAATACATTGGTTGAGCTGCGAAAGTTCTTAATATTTGAGCCTGAGCGCACCAGGGTTTCAATGTGGGCTGTTTTTCTGGCTTGGGGCTCAGCTCTGTGAGAAGGTGAGTAAATACAAAAGATGGCAAGGTCTTGATGCACAGGGCAAGCAAGCCACGGCCAGCTTCTCTGCATCAGCAGGCCTGGGGAGCCTGGCCACCAGTCTGCCCCACTGCTTTTCCCAAAGCAAGCCTGGCCTCTGAGCACACTCGGGAGCACTGCCCCCCACCCCAGCGCTGCCTTGTCAGGGCCTACAAACAAACAGCACTCCAGAGGTTCTGGGAGGCACCCCCACACCCTGGCTGAAAGAAGCACGCAGCTGGGGCTAGCCGCAACTCATCTGACCACAACATCAGGAGCCGGTCAGAAATCCTGGGGCAAGGGATAACCTCCCATTCAGGAATTTCTGGGTGATCCTTTTTCTGGGGGCATGTGCCAGACAGGCCAGCTTGTCAAGATGGGAAGAAATAAACTGTCCTCAAAACTAGAGGCTGAGCTCCCCTTAGGCCCACCCTGGTTTGCCTTAAAGGGGTGGGGGGGGGGCAGCCCTTTGAGGTCCACCTCTGCACTTCACCTGACTTTAACTCAGATCCCTGGGGCTCATAAAACAAAGAAGCAACAAACGAAAAGGGGATGGGGAGACAGGGACATCTTTCTCCAAACCAAGACCTTCACCTGAGAAACCAAGAGAAAGGAGGAGTTGCTCTTGCAGGTGTAACCTGCACAGCCCCCTCCCCTCCCCTTTTAAGCATTACAGAAGTCCAGCAGAATTGGGGTCAGCATTGTGAATCCCCCCTCCTGCCCCATGTGTCCTCCCCTCCCACCCTTCATCCCCTGCACCCTGCTATACAGTGGCATCTCGACAGGGACACACATGGAGTGCAAATGTAAACATTCCTCATCATAGCAATAAAATTAATAATAATAATAATAATAGTAATATAAATAAATAAATAAATAAATAGTGCAGTGCATGTTGGTGCCAGCAGAGAGCAGGACGAAACTGTTTCCCTCTCCCCCCCCAGCTGCAAAAGAAAAAGAAAAAGAAATGGGCTTGGGGATCACAGAGTGAGCATCACGGAGGGGCGAGGGAAGGGAGAGGGCGGCGCAGGGCTGTTGGGCTCCGAACTTGGATCCTGCAACCAGCGCGACGTGTCCAGGAGTTGGGAAGAGGGAGGAGGGCATTGCTGTACTTAGACTTTGGTTGTTACTTGTGGTACGGAAGATACTGGGGGAGGGAAGCAACTCATTTTCAAGTGGTGGGGTGGAGGGGAGGGAGTTTCCGTGCTGACTGTGGCCCAAACATGCATCGAGTCCATCTCGGAGGCAGTCTCGGCTGGTGCCTGGGAGGTGCCTCATCCAGCCAAGAAGATGGTTGGGAAGGCCTTAGAGTTCTGGCGGAGCACCATGTCACCCTCCTTCGGGAGACAAACGCTTCTCTCCGTCCCTCGGCCCCATCGGTGGCTCATCAGGCCTGGCTAATGCTGGTTTGTCATTGGCTGGATCCTGCAACCCTCAGGACTCTTGAGGAAGCCAAACGGAAGGGAGTGTGTCCTCCTTGCACAGAGTACATGATAAGCCTCCGCACGGAGTTGCAGGCCGACGAGTGCAGGTTTCTGTGTCCGTTTGTTCGAAGTCTCCAGCTGCCCCAAGTGAAAACGGCAAGCCCGAACGGCAGGAAGTGACCCTCGACCACCGCCACCCCAGTCTGAGAGAATGCGGGAGCGGGAGTGGGGGCGGGGGGGGGGAGGCGAGGCGTGCTGGCTCTCCTTCCAGAGATTATGAGATAATATAGATTTATATAGAGCTTTATAGATTATTTATATAAATATCTGGGGAGAAAGTGGTGGTGCAGAGAAGGGCTTGGGGAGCTGTACAACCCAGGAAGGGAAACCCAGTGGGTGAGATCACAAAGGGGGCGTGTCAGGGAGTCTCTGCACTTCCCCACTGCCTGAATGGTCCAGCTCAGCACTGTCGCAGTCCGAGTCCTCGTAGGCAGCTGGGTCCTGGAAGCAGAGGAAGAGAGCGAGGAAAAAGAGGGCTCAGCAGTGGGGCAAAGCGAGGAAGAACCCAGCCGATTTAGGCTGCAAGACAGAGGCTCCCATCTTTGGCAAAATGAACAAACTGTACCCAGAAAAGCTGAAAACAGCCGCTACATATTGAACAAATAAAGCAGTTTTACTACATACACTGCATAATTTAGTTTAACTCTGCTGGTCCTGGGAACGGGCAATGAATGTGTCTCCTTGACCACTGGAAATTCAGCTCTTTGGATTTGGAAAGTTTGCCAGAAATTGTCGAGATACTGTAAGATTCTCTTTGCAATCCTGAGGGCTAGAAAACTGATGATTTAAAAGTGAGGGGAAAAGCCAATTCCCTCAAGATGCTGCATTCTGCTCCCCAGCTTGCTCACGATGACAGTACATTCACAGTCATAACAAACCAGCAGCTGCCAAGAGCAGGCGGTGTGGGCCTCAAAGGTTACAGACAAGGTTGATTATGTTGCCCAGTTTGCAATAATAAATTTAATTTTGCCCTGCAGTACTCCAGAGGCCCCTTTATTGCCCAGGCTTAGCACCAGGGCAGAGTCCTGAGTCAAAACAAGGAAGTCTCAGCCCCCGAAGTACCCATGGCACAGAAAGGGGTGTCAATGCCTCCCGTTCCCACACTGCACCCACCTCTCCAGCATTCTGCTCAGCACTGAGCTGGCGCTTGACGAGCCGAATGGCAGCTTCCTTCTCAGACAGGCCGTCAGAGTGCCCCAGAATGTCATCGTCAGAGCGCTCGGCGTCCAGCCGCTCATCCGTGTTGGTGCTGGCCACGTCGGGCGTGCCCCCGCTGTGGGAGGCCGTGGTACCTTCACTGCCCGTACCCTCCTCACCGTCTCCATCCGAGAAGTTCTCCGAGCTGAATGTGGAGAGCGACTGCCGTTTGCTCATAGCCTGGGGCCATCTGGGGAGGGGAGAGGGGGGGAAAGAGGGGTCTGGAGCTGCGGAGACCCTTGCTCCATCCAGCATGGCCAGTGCATGAGTGGATGGTGCCCCCGGGCAAGCTGGTGGCGGGCTGAACAAAGATCCTGCAAAGGGCATTCCCAGGTCCTCCCTTCCAAGATATGGCAGCAGGTCCCAATCAGAAGAGGGGCTGTAAACTGTTCCACTCATTCCACCCGCAACTCAAGTCACTGGACCCCAAATCTCCTGCTGCTGTAGGCAGTAAAATGCTGCTAGAAGTTGGGTCTGAAAGAGCCTTCTCCAAACTGGCAGACTGCGCCTCCCATCATGCCAGATGAAGACAATGATGATGATTTGCATTTCTATACCATCTGTAGCTGAAGCTCTCTGGGTGGTTCACAACTACAGCTCCCATTATCCCCCATCCAGCATGAATATGGCCAGTGGGAACTGTCGCCTGACATCTGGATGGGGCCACACTGGGGAGAATACTGGTAGAGTAATCGTGTCCTTATGGGCTTCTTGTTACCCTGTTGGAAGTGGGTGGGTTTGCTCCATTGCCCTCGAGGCTGGGGGGCAGTGCGGGATAGGGGGATGGGTCCCCCTACACAGCCAGCTGGAAAGCCGATTGCGAAGGCAATGGGAGGGGAAAGGTGAGCAACAGAGGCCCCAGGCTCCAGAGGAAGCTGGCCTGGAGCTTTGGGAAGGGGAAAAGGAAGGTGAGGAAGGCCTGTTTCTTCTCCACACCTACCCAGCGAGGGGAAGACTTCTCACTAGGGAAGCGACTGGGTGACAATGCTGCGTGCCCAGCCTGACTCTGCTGGACAGGAAGCAGCCGGGCACGAAGGGCCAAAGTCGTACATCCCCTACACACCTGCCTCTTCCTCCTCCGGGCCTGTCATGCCAAAGCTGCTTGTTCCGCCTTTGCTGTCTCACCCTGCTCTCTCAAGGACTCCATCTCCCTGTATCTGTAGATTCTCGGCATCCAGCAACAGAGAAAATCTTCCACTTATTTCATATTGAGGCTAACCTCTGCCTCTGAAAATCACTAAAAAGCATGAAGGAACTTTGGGAAATGGCTTTTTCAGTATGTAGATTTTAATTGTGGGACCAAAGGGTGGTATTACTTTGGATTAAGGAAGGACGACTGCAAAGGCAAGATCTCGCAATCAAGATCTCAACCACCCATTCCTGCTTCTCTTCCCACCAATGCAAATGGCCTCGCTTGCTCCAGATGCCAGTTTAAAAAATGTGGAGTGCTCTCAACTCCTTGTAGAGAAGCCAGCAGTCAAAGAAGGCTGCCTAGCAGTGATGCCATCCTGGCGGCAGTTCAGGGCAGAAGTTCAGGGCACACTCAGCAAAACAAGCAGGGCGCTCCCAAGCGCGGCAGGGTCTGGTCTACCAAGTGGCACACTCCGTGCCTAACGAATCACCACTCCTGACAAAGCCCAACTTGGACCCAGAGCCCAGTGGCCAAGACGCTCTTCTTGGGTGAGGTGCTTGAGCAGGTGGTGGCTGAACAGCTCCTGCAATCTGGATTCAACGGACTACCTAGATCCATTTCAATTAGGCTTCAGACCTGGGTTTGGAATGGAGACTGCCTTGGCTGCCCTGTGCGATGACCTTTGCCGGGAGAGAGCCAGGGAAGCACGACCCTGTTGGTTCTCCTGGACCTCTCGGCTGCTTTCGGTACCATCGACCACGGCAACCTTCTGGATAGGCTGGCTGGGCTAGGAGTGGGAGGCACTGCGCTGGTTCTGCGCCTACTTGACGGGCCAATTCCAGAAGGAGGTGCTGGGGGATTATGGCTCTGTGCCTCACAGCTATGCCAGGGAGTACCGCAGGACTCCATTTATCCCCCATGCTATTTAACAGCTACACAAAACTGCTGGGGGAGGTTATCTGGAGGTATACAGGTGACACTCAGCTCTACCTCTCTTTTCATCAGCGTCTGAGCATGGTAATGGGTTGGGTGAGGGCCAACAAACTGAGACTTGATCCAGACAAGGCAGAGGTGCTGTCAGCGGGTGGGTTGTCTGTCCAGCTGGGAGACATTCAACCTGTTCTGGATGGGGTTGGACTTCCCCGAAGGACAAGGCTCATAGTTAGTGGGTGCTCCTGGATCCAGAACTGTCACTTGAGGCCCAAGCGGACTCTGTCATGGAGCACCTTTTATCTGCTCAATGCTGATCTGCCAACTACAACCCTACCTGGACAGAGAGCTTAGCGACAGTGATCCATGCTCCACGCCTCTCGTTTGGATTACACTGTATGGGGGGCTGCCTTTGAAAATGGTCCAGAAACTTCAACCAATCCAAAACAGGGCAGCAAGAATGTCGATGGGGACTGGCTCACAAGAGCACACTATGCCAGTCCTCCTCCCTAGTGCTACCCTGGCTGCTGGTTGGAGTCCAGGCCAATTCAAAGTGTTTCAAAGCCCTAAGTGGCTTGGGGCCAGGTTATCTGAAGGACTGCCTCCTCCTATATGGACCTACCTGGACCCTGAGGTCATCTTTGGGGGTCCTTCTCCAGAAGCCCCTCCAAGGGAAGTGAGGTGGGTAAATACTAGGAGGCCCTTTTTGGTGGTGGCAGCCCAGTTGTGGAATGAACTCCTTAAGGAGGTACGCCCGGTGCCTACTTCGTATTCTTTTTGGTGCCAGGTGAAGACCTTTTTGGGGTCCTTCTTAGCACTGCTGCTATGCCTCTATGCTGATCCAATTGCAACTGCAATCGCAGTTTTTTAAACTTAGTTTTATTTTGTGTGTGTTTAACCGCCCAGAGAGCCTTGGTTATTGAGTGGCATAAACATAAATAAAGAATGTGTGTGAGAAGGGCGTCGCATCTGCAAGACCACTAAGTTCAGAGCTGGAAATTAATTAAGGGCGCAGCCCAACCACCCCTGGAAGCTTCCCAGCACCCACTGCAGGGAGGGGGTGAGGCAGCCACCTCAGCTGCCACACCTCGCACTCTGCCTTTTATCTTGATGGCAGGAAGCTGGGCTGCCAACAGGAATTGGCAGGAGCCCTCAAGGCCCATCCAAAGCCCTCCCCGCTCCCTGCCCCAACAATCCCCTATTTGGCCTCCCTGGGGCCCAGCTGCAAGCACAGGCTGGGGGAGCAGCTGAGCCCTAGCTCTGAGAATGCGGGATTTTGGAGCTGGGGGGTCAGGAGCGAGACCTAAGTGCCCCGCCGATGGTGCTAGAGCTGGCCAGCAACCTGCTTGTGGAAAGACAGCCACTCAGACAGCCACTCTAGGATGCTGCTTCCTAGATCCCAAGATGGACTCTGGAACAAGGTGTTACGGGATATGTGTGGTTGCCAGCAAAAACTGGAGTGATGAGTCGTCTTCTCTTTCCCTGGAAGCTTCTTGCTAAACCGAACAAATGACACAACATGTTCAGACTGTCTCTGGCCTGCTTATGCGGGCTGCCTATATGCTTCGGAGCCTCAGTCACGGTGCTGGTTTTAACTCAAAAAGCCCTCCATGGCTTGGGGCCACAATACCTGGCACAGTGCCTCTCCCCCGACCTGTATCTACCTGGATGCCACGATCTACACCTGAAGCCTTTCTTCAAGTGCCACCTCCAAGGGAGATGACAAGGAAGGGGGCTTTCAACGCAACTCTGGAATGATCTCTCTGCCAATATCCTTTTGTGCTGGTTCTGTCATCTTTTCAAAGCCAGCTTAAGACTGCCCTCATCTCCCAGTGTTAAATGTCACACATGTAAACTGCTTTAACAGGTCTAGTTTCTTTTTTGATTGACACTGTTTTAAGGCAAGTGCTGATGGAAAAAGGCCAACAGAGCCCAGCATTTTTTTCTGCCTAAACTGAAACAGGATTGCCTCCTTAGTTGTTTACACGATTTTATATTTTGTATACTTTTATGTTGCATTTTATTATATCTGCATTTTATGCTGTATTTTTGATCGGTCTTGGAATCTGTGTTTTAAGAATTGCTGTGAACAGTCCAGAGAGCTTCACCACTGGATGTTACAGAAATGAAAGAAATAATATTACTGCACTCCAAGGCCTGGGTCTAGAATTTACCTTCTGCAAGAAGGTTTTGCAAGGTCTCACTGCCAGACTTGGGGAGCTTTCCTCTTCCCCCCTCAACAAACCCCAATCGTAGGGGTCTACAGGCCCTTTAGGTAGCATTTTCAGGGGGTTGGAGGGGCAGCTGCGGGAAGCAGGGGGTGGGGAAGGCCACTTCCATCAGTGTGGTTGGTCCAATTTAAATCTAGACCCAGCTCCGAGTTTCTCCATCCCTGTTCTGTTCCCCTTAAGTGTGTGGGCAGAGGAGAAACACTGAGCTGGTGAAGTGAGATCACACATTCTATTTTGGAAGGAAAGAGAAGAGAAGCGCAAGTGTTCTGTAGTGGCATCCCTGCATCTCCAGTAGAGCCCACTTCCAGCAAAGAGCGGCACAAATACCACTGGCTGATATTAACTGATCATGTGCTTTTCAATATTTGGAAAGCCTGCAGACAGGGAAGTAAGCCTGGCTTTCTTGACTTAGTCTTCTAGGCTTAGTCTACTCTTTTGCCGAACATATTAGCTAAGCTTTCTCCAAATGGGAGTCTTCCAGATATACTGGTTCACAGCTCTCATCATCCAAACTGGTTCAGGATGATGGGGATTGTATTCCCACACATCTGGTGGGCACTGAGTTGGGAAAAACTTTTATTTATGCATGTACTAGATTTCTATCCCAACTTTTCATTTTCTTTTTTTAAGAACTCAAAGTGGCTTACATAATTCTTCTCCTTCTCCTTACATCAACAACCCTGTAAGGCAGGGTAGGCTGAGAGTTTTTGACTGGCCCAAAGTCACCCAGTGAGCTCCATGGCTGAGCAGGGACTGGAACCCAGATCACCTAAGCTGCCATCCCATACTCTTAACTGTTACACCACATCAGCTCTCTGCACTGCACCAGATCAGAGTAAGCCTCTGAATTCCTGGGCTCACACTCACCCAGTGCAGAATCGCTCCTGCTCTGCTTTTTTCACCATTTTTGACTGCCTGGAGGATGCAGGGAGGGGGCTGGAGTAGCTTCAGGATCTCTCCTCTCCCTGCCCCCTTTGACCACTCTCTAAGATCCCTTTCCTAACATCAGACTGCACCCAGTGCAGTTATTTCTGTGTCAGCTAGCAGAGGGGCAGAGCTCTGACTCCCAGCTCCAAGGCTGGAGTGCTTTCTCCAACCTTGGAGCTGGGAACCTCCTAGGAACTATCCTGTGGCTGCTCAGACCATATCTAGGGGCCATAGGAGCATTCCCTAATGCATCTATTTTGTTGCGATGCTCCAACCAACCAAAGAGTGATGAATCAAAAAAGTTCAGTTTAAGGTAACAGAGACATAATGACTTTAAGAAGGCCTGATGATTTTTTTTTTTGTTCCTATTCCACGTCTGAGGGAGCTCAGGACAGGGCACATGGGCTTTCAAGCAGCTGGGCAACTTCCACTTACCTTGAATGCCCCTTGCATGGAAAAATACAAACAAATCTCCTGTTTTATTCCATGTATTATTTAGCATAGCTTTTCTCAGGCAGCGATAGCCAAAGCAATTCTACTAGATATTTAGTGCCGTGTCCTGAAAATATGGTGACACAGTGACATTCCCCGCTCCATCGGACGTTGTGTAGAGAATGCACACTCTTGGCCTCGGACCAATGAGCCACCAGGAGAACAACCCCTCTGCTCTTGCACAAAGAGCTGGAGGAGAGCAATCTGCCTGACGAGGCCTTCCAAGGGACCTGGCACTGACCATCCCCTCCTCAAAATGCCCAACAGGGTGAAGAGGCCCATAAAGGCAAAATGCTCACCTTTGCCGGAGGGGGAGCTCTACCTCGCTGTCCACCTCGCCTTCCTCCTCCTCTGAGGAGACGCCGCGCTTCTGGGCAAAAAAGAAAAAAGGAGAGTTGTCAGGGTCACGGCAGATAGAAGGTGAACCAAAACTCAGACGGAATCTACCCACCAATCCCATCTTTTGAAAGTACACTCCTGCTGCATGGAATTATCTTTCAACATGTTCTGTGAGCTGGACTTAGGGTGCTGAATGCAAACCCCTGTGCTCAATCAGGGCTGAATGGAGATAGCCCCAGTCAGGAGAGCGACACCATAGGGGCTGAATGTCCACACGGAAACGCAGCTTGCTTCATTCGCCATTCCACACGGTTGGGCTTGGATCCAGACACTGCTGGTGGAATGGACTTCCGTGTCCTCTTCTTTCCTTTGCAGCCCCCCCTCCCCTCCAGAGTCGGGGAAGGAGAGGACGCAGAAGCCCTGTTCCACCACCATTGTCCATCTGCGCAGGGGAAGATGCTTCTGGAGCGGCTGCTGTGACTTTTATTTCTATACTGTCCAAATGCTGAAGCTCTCTGGGCAGTTTGCAACAGTACATAAAATATATTCTAAAATACAGACAACAATAAGAACATCACAAGAAGTGCCATACACAATTCCAATGCCAAATTTAAAACAAGTGTAAAAAGCTACAATGGTCAATACAAATTCAAACAAAAGACCTGTTTAAACAGCTATTATAAGCCCCGATATAATATTAAATTGATTAAATGACCTGTGGTAGAGGATAGCCTTAACCTGGTGCCAAAAAGGTATTAAAATCGGTGCCAGGCAGGCCTCAAAAGGGAGTCTATTCCATAGCTTGGGAGCCACCATTGAAAAGGGCCTTTTCCATGTTGCCACCAACTGAGCCTCCGACGGGGGTGCCAGTCAGAAGCAGGACCCAGATCTTGATTGCAGTGTCTGGGTAGATTGTGATTGAGAGAGGTGTTCTGTCAGGTTTTGTGGTACCAAGCCATGTAGGACTTTATAGGTTAAACCCAGCATTTTGAAGTGGGCTTGGAAGCACAGGCAGCCCATGCAAGTGGGCCAGAATTGGTGCTCCATGCTAGGACCATCTGGTCCTTTTTATTACTCTGGCTGCTGCCTTTTGCCCAAGTGGCAGCTTCCAAATAGTCTTCAAGGGCAGACCCACACTGAGAGCCTTGTAGTAATCCAAGCCTCGATGGACATTATTTCACATCTCAGGACTATATGCACACAGCTCTGCCTGGTGGTTCAGAGAGGACACATGCAGGCATAGCTCCCATCTGAATGCCTACCTGTGGGCTCTGCTCAACTGAGGGACGAGGTTCAGAAGGTATAGAGCAGAGTGCCCATCCTCTGAGTGTCAGTGAGCACATCTGGCACTCTGAGAGCGCCTTGTGGGTGCTCTCACAACACGGCTGCTGTGGGAAGCTTGAGTCACTCAAATGGCCTCCTCGTAAGGCTAAGTGGAAGGTCCCTTGTCTAAGCTTTGAAGTACAAGGCAGAGTGGCAGGCTCCAAGCTCCAAAAGCCCAAAGCGCTCCTTTGAGCCTGAAGAAAAGTGGCAGTTTGGCTCTGCAGCAGGCCAGCCTCTCAGGTTAAAAAAATGATTAAGGAAATAAAAAATGTAGGCTTCTGAAGAGGCGAGGAACCTGCCAGGGGCCAACTGATGGATCTGGGGCACATGGGTTCCTGCGGGCAGCCTGTGGCAGACCCTAGGTAGGAAAGATCTGAAGTTTATGCACATCTGCAGTGCCTTAAAATTAAATCACAAATTTAATTTTTGTGATTTAAAATCTCATTTTTGTGAGATTTTAGGAGAGCACCCCCTATGAATCAAAGCTCAAAAGCCAAACACATCCTGAATATTTGTACACATTTCAGCACTAGGCAGAGTGTTTTATTTTTAGAGTATTTTAATGTTGAATAACAGTCTGAATTCTATTTTAATTCTACTTTTAGGTGGCATTTTAACTGAAGGATTTTAAAATTTTAATTGTTACTTATATATAAGGTGCAGTCCAATCTGGTTTTTGTGTGAAGTCAACAAAGTTGGTGCCCCTCTTGCAGGAATGGATGTTTTTATTGGAACTTATGTTTTATTATTTGAATTTGCTCGTATGTTGGATGTTTATGATTTGTTGGATGGTTTTTAGTTGTTATGAACCATCCAGAGAGCCATGTGGCTATTGTAATGGTCCATAAAAATGTGAGTGAGTGAATGACATATTTGCCTCTGCTCTAGTATGCTTACTTGCCCTAGCAAGGCTCATGTGGCGAGTCCTGCCCTAGTTCCCTCGGTGGCGGGACATGCCAGCATGGCAGGGTAACATGGCACGAACCTGTCGTAACCGGGACTCACCAGTTGGTACCAGCCAGTCCCTGGAGGTGTCCAGAGAGCTGTCTGGTCCTTCATTACTGGACTGTTCCAGGGTCTGGACACGGGGCTATAGGCAAGGTGCTCGGTAGGGTTCGGCCAGCCGCTCCTTGTCCCTTGTGGCCGACTATATCAAGGGAGGGCAGACAGCTCACGAGGCCCTTGGGATAATCAGCACCTCTTTAAGAAAGTGACCGGTCCCTCAAAGGAGGTAACAGTGTGACCCTTCCTGAGGAATCCTTCACTGGACACAGAAGATCTTAATAATTCGAGGCTGGCAGCAAATGCCCCCTTCTTGGACAAGGAGCTTGGACCCTCTTTGAACTTAGGCATCCTTTTCGGCGGAGGGGTTGGGAGGGTGTTAGGCCTAGATTTTGCACAGACTCTGCCTTGGTTCCTCAGTGAGATGGGATCTGTTGGGAGAGAGAAGGCAAGGCTGCCTCTCCGCCGGACTAAGGCAGGCAGGCAGGGGACCCACATGCCACCTTAAGTCACCTGGATTCTTCCTCAGATGCTGGCAACAACACTGATAACTTCTGATGCTCCTGGACAGGGTGGCCAAAGAGGGAAATGCACCACTGGAAAGGATGGTGACAGCAGGCACACATTTACACATGCTAATTTACATTTTGAGATGAAGATGAAGAAATTAGGTGTCCTGGATTTCTACTTAAATTGCAGCAATTCAGCAGAAAAACTAGACATGTCACTCTTGTGGAGAAGCCTATGAGCAGGTGACCCATGTGCCTCCATGTGCTCAGCAAGCTGCTCACTGCAGATGGGTTACTCCACGGTCCCTCCCTGCTCTCCCTCCTTTGGGTTCTTCACCCTGAAATCCAGCTGGACCTTTCGGACAGGAGGACAGATGGCCACCCTACCATAAAAGACCTGCAGACCACAAAACCGCGCACCTCACAATCTAAATGACAAGACAACTGCTATGCAAGTCAAGACAGAGAAAGCTGGAGAGAAAGAAAGAAAAGGGGCGGAAGCATTTCAAGAAGGAGACAGAATAGTACAATCACGAATGACCTATTTGAGACAAAAGAAGTGCTGAGATGCTTTTTAAAATTGGGCAAGACTGAATGGGCCAGATCTCAAGTGATTGCTCCAGAAATAAGAAGCAATCAACAAAAATGACAGGGCTGAGAAATAAGAATGAAAATGCAGGGGTGCACACACAAACGAACAAATAAACTGAAGAAGTGGAGGAACACAAGGATTAGGACAGTAAAGAGAATGGAAGCAAAGATGATAAATCAGAAGGAGAAAAAAACACGAGCAATTATGTTTAAATAAAGGAAACACACACTAGTCACTGATTTATTTCTGGGCTCAATTCAGGTAGTAGATTTTGACCAAAAAGTACTAAAAAGTGTGGGTCTTGATGTTCTCAGGGGCTATGTTCCCCTGTACAAACTTCCATTAAGGCTGATGATTAATTACATGAGTACCAGCTCATGTGGACACTAAGTTAGTATGCACAAGAATCAGGGTTTGTTTATGTGGTAAATTCTGGATCACCCCACCTCTAGGAGGTTCATTTGTCCTCTTTCCTGTTCTCTTTTTGGAGGCAGGCGAAAACAGGGGGAAAGTCCTTTTGCAATGTCTCTGCTGCTATGCAGCTGTACACATTCTATTTTTGTGTTGTTCTCTTCAGTTGAATGTTAAGGGGTTTGTACTGGCTTTTGCATTGTTGAGCACTTTGGAAACATACCATGATAAACTGGTGAAGACATGCAGCATGTTAAACAAGGAAACAAATAAGCCACCATCTGCTCTAGAGCAAGTGATTTTCTTGGCTACAACAGCCAAGCTTCTGAGATTGAGGGTGGCTGCTTATGAATCCCAGAAAATGAGGACAGAAGAGATAGGTGATTTCCATAGCATCTGCACATGCTAATTTCTATGTCTAGGTGGACATTTGCATATGTTTTGTTACAATTTAGGTAGAAATACAGTAGATCTCACCATAGTGGAAAAGACTGTGACTTGGGGCCTGCTGGCCTGCTCAGCTGCTGCCCAGGCCTCACTGAGGATGGGAAGTGGTTCTGGGGGTTCATGAGCTTGAAACTGGAAAGGGACAGGCCAGCCCTGCCAGTAGAGAAACCTTAACAACAGAAACCTGCCCTCCAGCAGCCTTTCAAGTAGAGGACTGCCCTTGGTACAAGAGACCACCTGGCCAGCAGAGATCGCCCTGGGTGTGGCCCAGGTATGATAAAACGAAGGAAGCCCTCCACTCCCTTTCCTGGCCTACCTGACTCCTGGTGACAGCTGCCCGATACAACATGGCCGCTGGCGTGAGGTGCTGGGATTGTGGCATGGCCCCTGCCCGGCTGCCCCGGCCGTGTTCCCGCTCGGCCTCCTCTCCGGGCTGCAGCCTCGCCTTTCCCGGGGGCCCGACCGCGCCCTGCCGGGAGGAGGGTGACTCGGGGCTGCTAGAGCAGGGCACAGAGGCTGCATCTTCACTGGGCGTCTCGCTGCGAGGCTGCTCCGCAGGCGGGGATTCGGGCCCGGCTGCCCCCTTGCGGCCCTCGGCTCCCAGTGTCGTGGAGATGAGGTCAGGGCTGGAGGAAGACATCTTGCGCAGCAGCAGGTCGTGTTGGAGCCCCCGCAAGGCCGCGCAGGGCTCCAGGCGCTTGGCTCCGGCCGGCTCCGCCAGCTCTCCGCAACTGCCCCGGGTGCTGACCTTGCGGTAGCGCGACTTGGCTCGGCGGCTGCGCCCAGGGGAGGGGGGGCCTTTCTGGCACACAGGGATGGCCAGCTGGGGCAGGGTTGGGTCCATGAGCACCTCCGTTTTCAGAATGTCAGGCCTGTGGAAGGGAAGGCACAGAAATTCAACAGCGCAACACAACACCATGGTCTCCCTTCTTCATGATCAATGTGAATACCTACTGAATTGCTGAGAGGAAAGTGGATGAGAAGAGCTTCTACAATTAGAACTGCAGCAGTAGCAGCTGCTCTTATTATTATTGCATTCCAGTTTAGAATATTGTCTCCTGCTGGTAGTTCTTCCCATATTGTTCCTGGCCTGCATTTATTGATTCCACAATAAAGGTATATTACTGCAGTTGTTAATGATGTCTTGTATTTTATGAATATGTAACATTCATATGAAACATATGTAAAAAGGCTGACTATAAGGGCTGACATTGATTGATCAAATCATCAACAATCTTGTTCACATTATTATTATTGCTATCAGTAGAAGTAAGTTTCAGAGAGTTTGGAAAGAAACTGAAATACAGACAGCTTGGCCTTTTTTTGCCTTAGCACACACAATGCCAGGGGAGGCCAAAGTGCCATTTTTTTGAGTCCTGGGCAAAACTGGTCTGCCTGCTTCTCCTTTTTCTGCTTGTTAGGAGCAGAGGTTGGGCTAAACAGAAGTGGGACAGTGTCCCTGGGAGAAGTCCATCCCCTGGCTCCCGGCCATTGCTCCAAGGCCGCCGTGCATCCATCTCTCCCTGCCAGAACATGGGAAGACTGAAGCTGCACCATCAGGCATATTCCAGAGTGCAGTTTTTGTTTGATGCTACCAGGTGGGGGTGCTGGCGAGTCATCTCACGCCTGAACACAAAAAGCAGCCACGTCAGAACAAATGGCTCAGTCCAGCGGCCAGCATGTCCTGCGCATGGGATTCCTGCTGCATTTGTGTCATCACTAAATAACCACCCTTATTTTGAGCCAGATTTGTAATGCTGAAGGATGGTTGCTAGTTCATGGCTGCTGCACATGTTATTTTTATTTATTTATTTTCTATGTTGTCCATTACTAAAAAAAAGTCTCTGGACGTCTTACAAGAAAGGAATCCAAGAACATGCAGCATCTATCTTATTCCACTAAATTTTGTCTTCATAACTCTGTAATTATTTATAATTCTGTCTGAAGAAATTGTGCAAAATAAATGGAGCTATCCAAATAAATGGAGTATATTTGCTTATTTGAATAGTGAAAAGTTAAGGAGCTATCCAAAGCATTACCTGGTCACTGGAAATGATATTTTATCTTTCTCTGATTTTTGAGATTCTGCTAAGTACTGACAGCATTTCCATGCATATTCTAAAGTCATAGGGGCTAGAAGCTTGATTAATTTGTTTAAAAATCAACAGAATAAAGCTAGTAATCCCAGGCTGCAGGATTCCCTGCCTGATATTACGTTTGTAGCTGTATCTCATCTAAGGATGTGGCAGCCCTATCTAGGCTGTACTAATATCTCTTGAGTGGGTCCCAGCTTGGAAATCCTGCACATATATACATTCCGAGGTCAATAAATCTAAATTCATCCCCTAGAAAATCTGAATTCTCTATCCAGTATACATTATGTAACCAAATTTGCATATTTCTGCTTATTTTCTCTCATTCATTCCACACTTGAAATTACTGGGCACAATTTATTCTTGCTTTGCTAGGCATTGCAAGGAGCCCAGACATATGCCAAACCCTGAAGGCACATCTTAAGCAGTTGCCCGTTGGCTTCTGAAATTCCTTACACACTTCCCAGTATGTCTGTATAATACTAGAGGCTAGAAACCTGCTTTTTAAAAACATTTTTAAAGAAAGACAGGCAGACAGCTGAGGCTCTTGGGTGGCTGAGTTCCACACCAAACGCTTCCCGTGTGCCTACACTCCCACGCAACCATGCCACTCGCGTTAGTCCACGCAGCCGTTCCCTGATGTGTCTCAGGGTGGCCCCATAAGCCACACTCCCTCCCTCCCTGCCCCATCGGCCCTTCTCAGCCGCTGCTCACCTCTTGCTGTGCGGCGAGAGCTTCTGAGGCACGTTCCTCTTCTTGATCAGCTTCTCCACTGTGTTGCCGTGCAGAAGGCTGCGGGAGGGATGGTGCTTGAAGAGCCCCGGGTACTTCTTCTCCAGAGCTTGCTCCCGCCTGTGGTTGGGGTGGGAAATTGAGGACGAGTGGGGAAGCACCGACAGAATGCATGCATTAATTTTATTTATGTTTTTATGCTATTTATAGTCTGCCTTTCTCCTGCAAGAGATCCAAGGCAGCTTGCAGATTCCTCCTCCTCTGCACATTATCCTCACAACAACCCTGTGAGATATTTCAGTGCCAAATTAAAACCTTCCTCTTCCAACAAGCATTTAATTTTTAATTTGTGGCTTTGAGAATACTGGCTTCTTTTTTTGGTTCTTTAATATTTCTACTGCGGTATTCATTTTAATGGCAGTTATTGCATTGTTTGGAGGCACTTTCTGGTGTTTGTAAACTGCCACAAGGGCCCCTGCCAGTTGGGTGGTATAGAAATTAGATCCAGTGCAGCGTGTTATGGTGCTTAGGGACTCAGGAGATCCGGGTTCAAGTCCCTACTTGGCTGTGGAGCTCACTGGGTGACTCTGGGCCAGTCAGTCGCTCAGCCTCACCTACCTCACAGGGTTGTTGTTGTAAAATGGGTAAAATGGAGAGGAAGAGGAGACTCTTGCAAACTGCCCTGGGTTGCCCGCAAGAAGGAAAAGAAGGCAGGGTAGAACGGTGGCACATAATGATAGGCAACTAGCGGCCCAGCACAACTTCCTTTCCAGAGGACCCATTGCCTTCCTCAGGCACCACGGCCCTTTTCCCCATGCCAAAAGAGGTGAAGGGGATCTTTCCCCCACTCCTCCTGGGTTAAGCAAAAATGGACACTGCTGGGTTTCCTCTGCTCTTTCCTTCCCTGCTAGCTTTGCATCCTGCCCGGCTACGCAGTGGTGCTTCAAGGAGGCCTCTGACGGTCAGCGGCAGCTCAACCCTGGGTGCAGGTTAAGGAAAGGGCGAGCGGAGGGCGCTGCAAGGGGATGGGGTCTGCCAAACTGTTTGCTGCCACTCATACCGGGGAATGAAGGGACCGAAAAGCGCATCGTTGGAGCGAGGCGGTGGGCAGAGATGCAGCGGCTGGCCCTTTGCCCTTGCTCAGTGGAAAAATAGGGCTTCTTGAGGAACATCTGTGGCCAAGAGAGGTGTCCCCGGCAGGTCCTGTGGAGGCATCTGTGCTGCCTTACCGCAGCAGCTCTTTCTCCTTGAGCTCCAGCTGCAACATGAGCGAGTTGAGCTCCATGTAGAGGTTGTTGGCCCGCTCCAGCTTGCGCTCGTAGTGCTCCCGGATGTCCAACGCGTGCCTGAGGAGAGGGGAAAGATGCTGGCAACTATTCTGCCAAGGCAGGCCTCCCTTTCCCTCCCTTTCTCTAAGTGGTAGGCAATCTCCCCCCTGGCTCCCCTTTGGAACCGGGCTCAGCAAACCACGCAATTGTCCCAGCATCTGAATGGCACATTCCCTCTTCTTGAGGTTCAGTTCTTACATTCAGGGGCTACTGTGCATCAGAAGTGCCTGGAGGCTCCCCAGCTTTCTTGGCATAAAGAACCCCAGAGGTGGTTCTAAGGGGACTAACAGCTGCATCCATGACTTGAACACCCTGGGAAAGCTGCAGGTACCAGGGTCCCCAGCCTCTGCAATGCTGCTAGGCTTCAACAAATTATAGCCTTCAAATAATTAGTTTTTATTTAAATAAGGGGAATGAGATGAGGAAATAGAGGAAGACATGGGGAGAAATTGGCAATATTTTCTGTGCAATCATGAGGGCTAGAAACTTGGCTGGGGAACCTGGCTGAAAAAAAGGAATGCTAATATTGTCATATATTCTGCACTGACATCCTTTCATCCTTTCCTTGCCTCTGCAGCACCTGTACACTTTTCAAATCTGCTCCGGAGGGTCTCTCAACCCTCTGGAGCAGAGCTGGAGGGTGCAGAGGGGGAGGTGAGGATGGAGAGGTCCCCTACTACCAGTGGTATCTCTTCTGTAAGTAGCACATCACAGCTGGATCCAACCCAATATATTGGCCCCATTTAGAAGTGCCCATCACTAACAGCAGGTAGGTAGCAGATCTTTGTATTTGCATCATTAATGCGCCAATGTTTGTTTATTTTATTTATTTATTTATTATATTTATATCCCACCCTTTTCTTGCACACTCAAAGCAGCTTATATCACTTCACATCAAGGCTCATCTTACCTGAGCTCTTCTCGCCGCCTGTGGATCAGCTCCTCCTCCAGGCGATGCAGACAGGTCCCTTCAGATTTGATCTTTTCGAAGTGCAGCTTCACTTCCTCCCGCCACTCAGCCTGTGGGAGAGAAGAGAGCTTCATATGTTTTTGTCCCGGATCCTGAACCTACATACTTCAAACCTGCTGAGATCAAGAAACAATTCCAAGCGGCCTTTGCAGTGGTTCCGCTCCTATCTCAATGGCCGGTTCCAGAAGGTGGTGCTGGGGGACTATGGCTCTGCGCCATGGCAGCTATGCCATGGAGTACCGCAGGGGTCCATTTTGTCCCCTTTGCTGTTCAACATATACATGAAACCGCTGGGAGAGGTCATCAGGAGGTGTGGGCTGCGGAACCATCAGTACGCTGATGATACCCAGCTCTACCTCTCGTTTTCCACCAATCCAGGTGAGGCAGTGGCTGTGCTGAACCGGTGCCTGGCCGAGGTAATGGGCTGGATGAGGGCCAATAAACTGAAGCTCAATCCAGACAAGACGGAGGTCCTGTTGGTTGGTGGATCGGGCTTCGGAGAGGGTGAATTGAACCTTGTCCTGAATGGGGTTGCACTCCCTCTTAGGGACAAGGTCCGCAGCTTGGGAGTGCTCCTCGACCCAGAGCTTTCACTGGAAGCTCAGGTAACAGCAGTGGCGAGGAGTGCTTTCCTCCAGCTTCGGCTAATTCATCAGCTGCACCCCTATCTGGAGAATGACTGCCTTGCGACAGTGACACATGCGTTGGTGACTTCCCGTTTGGACTTCTGCAACGCGCTCTACGTGGGGCTACCCTTGAAGACGGTCCGGATACTTCAATTGGTCCAAAATAGAGCTGCCAGGCTGCTGACGGGGACTGGACGTTATGTTCACATGACTCCAGTTCTCCGTCAGCTTCACTGGCTTCCCATTGAAGTCCGGGCCCAATTCAAGGTGTTGGTTATGACCTATAAAGCCCTAAACGGCTTGGGTCCTGGTTACCTGAAGGAGCGCTTACATCCTTATATGCCCAGCCGCCCCCTGAGATCGGCGGGAGAGGCCCTTCTCCGGGAGCCCTCCATGGAAGAAGTTAGGAGGGTGGTTACTCGGAGGAGGGCTTTCTCAGCGGTGGCGCCTAAGTTATGGAATGCGCTCCCCAGAGAGGTCCGCCTGGCGCCGTCGTTATTTGTTTTTCGGCGCCAGGCGAAGACCTTTTTATTTAAGCAGTATTTTAAATGTTAATATTATTGAATTTTATTTGGCCAGGGCGGCTTGTTTTATAGTGTATATTTGTATTTTATTGTATATATTTTAAAATGTTATTTTAAATTTTTTGTTGTAAGCCGCCCCGAGGCTTCGGCGAATGGGGCGGCATAAAAAAATGTTTTAATAAATAAATAAATAAATAAATAAATAAATAAATAAACCCTAAGAGTTCTTAGGAGAGAGAAAGCACCATTCAACCCAGTGGGACTTATTTCTGAGAAGCTTAGGTAATTGCATTGCAACACTGGCCTTAATTCTTACAGGGTCCTCTCACTTTTGCTAGTCTCTGCCTCTCAGCCCAACTACTTCACAAGCAGGTTGTGTGAATAGAATTAAGGAAGAGAGAACCTTTTTCACCACTGTGGTGGATATCATGAAGACCAGTGAGAAAACCTCTCCATTAGATTCTTGGCACAAAATGCAGGGGTAGCAGTCATGGGGGGCCAAAAAGGGAGCAGCAGCCCTGTTGAGTGCTGGGAGAAACGCAGCCCTGAGGAAGCCCACCTGGGATTTGAAGTAGGTCTCCTGTGGCGTGGACAGCACATCAGCAGACGCAATGTCAAGATGCAGCAGGATCTGGCGGAAGGAGGGACGGTTGCGAGGTTTGCTGTTCCTGAGGGAAGAAGGCAAACTAAGCGCAGAGGGAGACAGGAGGGAGGGTCTGGGCCCAGTGCGGTTGACGTGGCCAGCAGCAGTGGCCCTCCAGGGATTCAGGCGGCCCCTCTGCCAGGATGGCCAGTACTCTGCCGCTGAGCCATCACCCGCCTCCCTGGCCCAGGGGACAACTGCTGTGAGCAGGGAGTGTTTGGAATGAGACAGACTCAGAGTCCCTGCCTGGGCCTACTGTTGAGCACCCACTGGATGCCAGCCAGGGAAACACGATACGATGCTACTAGGCCTATTAATCTCAGCTGTGAAGTAATGAAACGCATTCATGAAATTTCTGCAATTTTCCAAGTAGCGTGCAAATGTGTGGGTGAGGGAGTGTGCAAGCCCCACATTTCAGTTTGCTTCAGCACTGTTTGGCCAGACTGCACTCCCTGCAGAAGAGGCCCGTGCTTCACTCACGCCTGGGTTCTCACCACACAAGCCCACCATGCGGCCAGTGGGGGATGTGTAGAAATGGGGTGCCAGGGACATCGTTCTGCTTTCTGTCTCTCTCTGCACAGATCCTTCCCTCCCACTCCTCCTCCTCGGCCTCCATACGCTGAACCACATTCTGCTTGCGCGGAGCACCACACAGTTCTGGAAGCAGCTGGCACCGGTGGGAAAGCTTCACCCCATGCCTGGCAGGGCACATGAGCAAGCATGGGCTGAATCCAGCCTTAATCATACTGGATTAAGAGAGCAGACCTGCTGAAATCCATAGGAGTCAAACGAGCCGTGATGAACTGGAGTCCCTCTGATTTCCGAGGGGCTGCTCTGAGTGTGATCAAAGCTTGCCTCCTTTGACACCGTGCAGGGGCCTGTTCGTAGCCAAGGCATGCTTGGGGCAGCCCCATGGCAGGGTGGGAGGCCTCTTTCAGCCCAAGGGCTGCATTCCAGGGGCAGACAGGGCAAAGACCATGCCGACTGGGCCAGAAGACCCGCTGTGCTTGAAGCGTTTACTTCCTGTAGCCAGCCCTTAGGAGTGGCATTTCATGGCAAGAAATCATGGCAAGAAAGCCCGAAAACTACACATGACGGGGGCTTGAGAGGGAGAGGTCTGGACCAGGGGAAGGAGGCCTGTCTGGGGTACCCCAGAGGGCTGCCCTTGGCTTGTGGCCAGAGGTGCTGCAGCCCTGTCCTATGGCAACAAACATCCAGCGACCCGGGCGGGAGGCCCATGCAAGCCCCACGATCTCACACCGGGTGCAGCAAGAGTTTTGGTAGTGGCGGACTCACCAGCACTGCCGTAACAGGATCTTGAAGCCGTCGGGGCAGCTGGTGGGCACGGGCAGGTGCAGGCTGTTGCTGCCCACACCCCAGATGATGGCCGAGGAGTCCACATCCTTGTAGGGGATCTCCCCCGTCAGCAGCTCCCAGAGAACGACACCAAAGGACCTGTTGCGGGGTGGCGGGAGAACAACAGGTCACCCGCGGGTGGGGGAGGCATGTGGCCCCCTTCCCTCCTCAGGCCTTCCCATCTCTTCCCACTCTGGGTCCTTCTTTCCACCTCCCCTGGCCTGGCACCTTCCAGAAGCTTTGGACTACTGCCCCCATCACCCCCACCCAACATGTTTTGTGGCCACGCTTCACAGACATGGGTAAGCAACCTAGGCCAGTTTTACTTCCCGGCAGCTACTTTCCAGCACCCCTGGCACCTCCTCACTCCCCTCTCCCTCCTCTGGGCCTGCCTGTCCTCACCAGATGTCCACCTTCTCTGAGACAGGCTCGTTCCGAATGACTTCGGGTGCCATCCAGGCCACAGTGCCGGCGAAGGACATCTTGGTGCTTTTGTCACTCAACTCTTTGGAGGTGCCGAAGTCGGAGATCTTCACCACGTCGTCGTAAGTGATCAGCATGCTGGGAACAGAGGTGAGCAGAAAAAGGGCTTGGGCTGAGCTGAAAAAAACCGCTGCGGAGGCCCTCAGGCCAAGGCAGATGCGACGCTCGCGGCGGCCAGCAGGGGGAGCCGCAAAAAAGGCTAACTCCTTACTGATGAAGCCGGAGCTGCATCGCTTTGGCTTCATGCGGCCACACGGTGCTGGCAGGGAGAGGAGGCCACGCCACTGGGGGACGGGAAAAGACGGGCCTTTCCTCACCCTTTCAGCAAGCTTTCCATCTGGGAATGTTGCAGATGCCTCCAGACCAGGGCTCCCAAGGGGTAGGGTCCGCCTTCACTGGGGAGTCCATGTTTACCCCAAACCTCTCCAGCTGCAGCTTTGCTGCATGGCTGAACTAGGGGGAGAAGTGATACCCACCTCCATCCAAACAGGGCAATCGAGCCTACAATATATGCAGTACCTGCCTGGCGACTCACGTGCAGCATGCCGAGGCTCTTCCTTCCATTTGGAAGGCCTCAGTGGCTTGGCTGCATAAATTATGTACTCTGCACTTTCACTTGGGCACATATGCGTAGCACCCACCTTAGCCATGCTTAGCCATGCAAGCACATTTGCTCACATTTGTCAGCTCCCTTCTCTGTTGTCTTCCCCACATCTGTCTATTCCATATTGCGCGTCCCTTGGAGGCAGAGAACTGTTTTCAACACAACCATTTTTTTTGTGTGTGTTTACAAAATTCTGCAAGGCACCATGGATACCACTGGTGCTTTACAGCAAGGAAATGGCATTCACACAGGACTTGGGAGTAGAATCAAAAAGGTAATATGTATTACTTGATTTGCACAGTTTACACAGATTAATAATTTCTCCACCTGCTGCATGAATGAAAGTAGCCAGGAAAGCCCACAACAAAGAGTGATCTCTCTTTCTTTCTGCTAAGTGTATATCTGTGCCAATGGGACAACTGGAGTGTGTGTAGTGGTTCGTGTGCGTGAGCACGTGGCCCCACAGACTCTGGAGTTGTGGCTGTACCAACTGCTGGCAAGCAGCTATCTGATTTACTCATCTGGAGAGAATTCAGGTTTTGTGCCAAAAGAATTCCCCACCCTGCCTTACAGGAAAAGATGTTAACTTGGCAGGGAGGTAGAGCACAGAGGGTTCTTGCAATTGCAGCGTTCCAAGAGTCCCAGCCCTGCTGCAACTTCGAAACCAGCAGTGATTCTTTTTATCAGGAAGCAAGGGTAGTTAAGTGAGCTTTACCCCCCAGTCCCAGCTTGGGTTTCCCATCTACCACTAATCACCTGATTATCCTCACCTTCTCTGTACTGCCCCCCCCCCCACACACACACACCGGGTTAATTTCCTGGTGATGCCTGGCTTTGCCTCTTACTTGGGTGACTTGAGGTCGCGGTGGATGATCTTGTGCAGGTGGAGGTAATTCATGCCGCCGGCAATGCCCATGGACCAGTCGACCAGCAGGGATGGGGTGACCTTGCGCCCTGCACGCAGCACCTCGTACAGCTGGCCCTGGGCACAGAATTCCATGATGATGCAGTAGCAGGGAGCCTGGGTGCACACGCCCCTAAGACGAGGAGAGACCAGGAAGCATGCCAGGTTAGTACTGGCTGGAGCACACATGGTGCTGGCGAGAGCAAGTTCATATGCTCTGGTATGGTGTGCTAGCAGAGCTGCAGTAATATCCCCGAAAGCCAGGCCGAGTTCTCAGAGCTGCATGGTAAGAGGCCATTCAGGTTTTGAAAAGAGGAGTGGGTTCAGTTCTATGTGGAAGCCCCACCATGAGCCGCAGAAGGAAGTCCTGCTCTTTAATTTTGTGCAGGTAGGACAGATTGTCACTGTTGCTCAAAGGCAAGCAAAAGGCACTCTGTGCATGCTCCAAGAAACCAGAGGGTAACTGGGACATTGCAGCTTCTAGTTCTCACAGTGAAGGAGACATGACAATGAAGCCAATTTCCTGGGGAGGATGTGGGCTCTCCCTCGCTAGGCATGTTCAGAAAGCATCTGGGCAGCCATCTAAGTGGGATGGTGTAACTTGGGTGTCCTGCAACAGCAGGGGGTTGGACCCAATGGCCCTCTGGCCCCTTCCAACTCTACTCTTCTACGATTGTGCATCTTGTCAAGGGGAAGACCTGCCTGACCCCATCTGTCAACCAGAGAAAGAACAGCACCTGGAAGCATGGTTTCCCCTTCCTTGCCAGAAGGGAGCCCCCACTCTAACCACCAGCTGCTCTGGGATTGCAGGGCTGAAGGGACCCATTATCTGTGGCATTTGTTGCAATCTGTTGGAAGTTGCTTGAAGGATCATTTGATTGTAAGGCAAGGGTACAGATCTTCAAAGCAAACAATAGCAAAGAAAGTTTGCAACAAAATGTTGCAGTTTGCAGGGCTCCTGCTTCAGCCAGCCAAAGCCTTTTCAAGGACACTCTCCTTGGGGAGTGGGCAATTTTGGAAGATCCAGAGGCCCTTTCTGCCTTGGAAACCCCTCCCCGCATTGTGGGCCACACACCCCACAGGGCACTGGAGAAAAATGGCAGTGGTTTGACTTCAGTGGCAAACTGTGAATCCCAAAACATCTAAATCTCATTTGTTTTTCAGTGAGATCTGGAAATTTTAGGTTTCCGTATAGAAGCCTAAAATAGCCAAATCTTGCTTGAAACTCTGTGAAAGACAGCTATTTTGCGTTTTCTCTGTGGCAGCAATTTTTGTTTTCACTGGGCAGCAGCTGCAGCAAGAAGCAGTGAGGGCAGCCAGCACCCCACTGCCACGTGCTGCCCGCCACAGTCCTCTTCCGCGACTACCACTGGCTGTTTCCCAGCCACCCCACTGCCTGCAAGAGCCTGTGAGTGGCCAGTGAGCATGCTGAGTCTTCACTGGGCTGCTTTCAGTTTTCCAGCAACCCCAGCCTGCATGTTGGGAGTTGCAGGCCGTCATGTCTGAGGACGGCTGCCTTATACAATATTACTATATATCTGTTTTTTTAAGGAAAGGCGAGGGCAGTGATGGGTAATAAAGTGCGACCTTCAGATGAAAAGCAACAGGGCTTGCTGAAGGTTCAAGTTGGCCATACACCATTGGAGTGGGGCAGATATACCGCTTCCCAAACAACAGGCATCCATCCCAAGGGCCTGCCAGAAGGAGGGTTCCTTTCCTGAAGAGGTTCTGCTCTTCCACCCCAGGGGTCCGGCCCTCCCACGCTTGGCCCTAGGCTTCAGAACACCAGGCAATCTCTTTGCTATGCAGATCTTCATTGGCATTTTGCAGCTACAAGAGAAAGCAACTCTAAAAGTCTCCAGTCAACTGAAAGATAGGCCTCGGCTTATGTAAAGAATGTTGAACCCAAACTGGAAGCATCTCCCCCAAGTCCCTCCCTTTCAGTAACACCCTCAGGGTGGTGAATGGCCAGCCAGCAAGACCTAACCGGGCAGCTCTACTCTCTTGATGCCTCATTATGGCACAGGGACCAGGCAAGGCAGGGCTCTCCCTCTCCCTCTTCCTGGGCCCCTGTCGTCTCTTCCAAAACATTTCTGCTCTCCTCATCAGCCTGCAAACTTGTGGGCAGTGACCTTGAGGGTGCTTCAAAGGCCTTTGCTTCTCCCTGAGTTTCCAAAAATCCCATCACCGAGTCTTCATGGCTTTCTTCAAAACCTGAGTCACGATGACTCAGGAATGCCCACCAAGAGTGGCAGTCTAGTTCATTCCTGACAGGTGCCAAGTCACTAGTCCACAAGACACCCCACCAGCCCTGCCCACACTCACTTGAAGGTGATGATGTTGGGGTGCTTCAGCTTCCGCAGGTGCTTGATGTCCGTCTCCTTAAGGTCTCGCACCTTCTTGACAGCCACCTCCTCCCCATGGAAGCGCCCCAGGAAGACAGCCCCTTGGGCCCCACTGCCCACCCATTGCAGGTCCATGATCTCCTCAAAGGGTACTTCCCATGGATCTGCAGCAGAAAGGCAGAGAAAGTCAACAGTCATTCCAGGGAAAGGGAAGGAGAAAGTGAGCCCACTGTTTCTCCCAAGATCACAGGGCCTGGGAGGCGTATTTTCCCCCAGCAATCACAAAAGTGATGCCCATTACAGGAGCAAATACAAACTTTTCCAAGGCACAGAATTCCGCACCCTGAGTTTCAAAACTTTCCTTTAAAAAAAATTCCTGCAGAAAGTTTGTGACTGTTATGGGTGTATATAAGCTCTCTCTGTGTGTGCACGGAATGTGTCATCAGGGGGCAAGGAAGGACTTCCAGTTGTAAAGGACTGGAAAATCGCCCGCCTGCACATCTAATTGCTCCTCCCCTGTGCAAGTGCTCCCTACCCACCTGAGCGCACCAGTGAAATCCCAGCCATTCATGAGATGGTCACCAAAAACCTGTCCCAAAGTGCCAGAGGGGGGCATAAAAACAGAACAGGAAAGAAGGAACTGTGCCATTAAAGAAGCCATTAGTTCCAGGCCTTGAGGCTACCTTTCAGACTTGCATGGCACCCAACCCTGCCTGTGTGTTAGCAGGGGGCAATCCCCCTGGAGCTGGGGCAACTGGAGGCCAGTGGTTTCTGAAGCAGATGTCAAAGGACAGAAATGTTTGCTTCTGGGAAGGGGTGGGCCTGTGTAGCTCGCTGAAGGCCGCTCTGCTGAGCAGTTCTTCAGAAAACAAGTGCTTCAGTTGCTTCCGGCATGGCTTCAAGAATTACCAGTGCTGGGTCCTGGGAGCAAAAGTGCCGGAGCGGAGGTGCTGCAGCAGGTGTGGATATTGCCACTTGTTCCTTGCAAGTGTGTGGAAAGGTGTAAAAGGCGCTCAGCTGGGATCACAGCAAAATGCTACTGGAACTATTCGTATCTGAAGGAGACCGCTAGGGCAACTGCATGAATTTTCCCACCCTGTTGAATGAATGGGTCACATCCATTTGGATGCTACGGGGACATGGTTTGGGAGAGGGCCTAAGGCACGCATGTGTGTCCCCGGCTCAGACTGGCCATGGGTCCTTTGTTGCTCTAGGATGTGTATAAGAAAGGAATACAACATTTAAACTGTTAAACTGGTTACCTGAAGGAGCGCTTACATCCATATATGCCCGGCCGCCCCTTGAGGTCGGCGGGAGAGGCCCTTCTCCGGGAACCCTCCGTGAAAGAAATTAGGAGGGTGGGTACTCGGAGGAGGGCCTTCTCTGCGGTGGCGCCTAAGTTATGGAATGCGCTCCCCAGAGAGGTCCGCCTGGCGCCGTCGTTATTTGTTTTTCGGCGCCAGGCGAAGACCTTTTTATTTAAGCGGCATTTTAATTGTTAATATTATTGGATTTTATCTGGCCAGGGCGGCTTATTTTATATTGGTATTTTTGTATTTTTAACTTAATGTTTATATTTTTTAATTTAATGTTATAATTATTTTTTAACTTATTGTTGTGAGCCGCCCTGAGGCTTCGGCGAATGGGGCGGCATAAAAATGTTTTAATAAATAAATAAATAAATAAACAAACTGCAGGCAAAGATCTCGCTGGTTCATTCACATCAACAACCCAGTTCAGACAATAATCCATACTCAAGGACTGAGTCTTGGTTGTGGTTGAATCATGAGCTGTTCAAACATGCATGATTGTGCTGCCTGCATTAACAAGCCATGGCTTGTTAACCTGAAACAACCCCTGAAGAAAACTCATGGTGAGTTGCTCACTATGGTGCCTGGATTCAGACATGGGGAAACCCATGTTTCCCTCCCATCATGGTTTGATGACAACCCTCACTCCCAGAGTGTGGGCTACTGTTTCACCCAAACCCAACAAAACCCAGCCCCACCATTTTTGTGTTCCTTGCTGCCCTTTAGGCTTGCCAGGTCCCGATGCTGCAATGACAGTGGAAGTGACAAGAGGAAGAAGCAATTGTTAGAACACCCCCACCCCCGGCGTGGCCCTCTGCCTTCCTGGCTTAAAGTTTGCAAACCTCCCCTCCCCTCCCTGGCAGTGCCCTTCCTACCAATAGCACAGGGGTGCACAACCTGCACTCCAGCGCTACATACTGGTTTTGGCTGCTCCTGATGAAATCTCACTGGGAAGTAGCAGAGCTGGATTGAGGCACCCAAGTCTCTTCCACTTCCAAGATTATTTTCCTGCCTCTGTTGGCTGACTCTGGATGAGACCCTGGGGGAAAAAGGGTGGTGGAGCTCGGCATAGGACATGGGCCCCCATGCCCTTACGTGAGGTTTTGATCTGGTCCAACTTTCTGCTTGCTTCTTCTCATCAGAGACTCTCAGATTCTAGCTTTCTGACTATTACCTATATTGCATTTCTTTTCTTGACCAGCTCTTGTAGCACTCCCTTTCCATTCCTATGCAGCTCCAGTCCCTAGACTTTTTTAGCATGATGGTTTCTTAGGGCCCCTTCCCTGAGTAGCCACTGCTTGACTCTCTTCCCAGTTCTTCTCCTTAAGCCTCTTTCTCCATCAATCTTCCTTCAGTGTCCTCCTCTGTTCACTCCCCACTCTGTTTCGTTCAGTCATCTTCCCTTTGAGCTGCCTCTCTCTGAGCTTCCCTATGGGACCTCATTCTATTCCTTAGCCTGCCCATAAGAAGTTGTCATCTCAGCCAAAATGACAACTTACCTTTCCCTCCTGGAAGCTGGATTGCAAACTGTTCCATTCCCTGAACATTCTGTGCTATGGTAGCAGCTCAGCCAGTCCGAGTGAGGGCTCACACCTGGCATTTCATGGCTTGCAAATTAAATTAACGTTCTGCCACATGCTGACGGCAATCTGGTAGGGCCACTAGGGGCCAGTCAAAGCTGCTTTGGAACCCATCTCTGACTCACACTCTGCCAGTGGGCCATCCCTGTTCTCAAGCGGAGCTCGGTAAGCCACAAGTTGCAACCATTCCTGATACTTTTTAAGGTTGCACAACATGATGCCTTCAAGATCACTTGGGAAAGCATGCCATGTATCTTCGCGACAGTTTATTACAGGCCTGTCCTGAGCCAGGTATGCATCTAAAAATGGGTCCTAGGTTCACCTAAGTCTCTTTGCATTCAAAAGAAATCACAGTTGCAAAGCCTTTGAGGATTAATTTGTAATCTGTGTCAATGATGTTATGGTTTGATCTGACACTGTTGTTAAGGGGGTGCTGTTCTTTAATTTGGATTTGCTACAGGAAATCCACTTTATGGCATGTTTTTGGATTAGGTAGAACATAAACCAAACCTTGTATAATAATGCCATCTGCTTCCAGATGCCTGGCACCTAGTGCTAGCCAAAGTATCGGTAGAATTGCTATTAACTTTCTAGAGTATCAAAGTATTACACTGCGGTTTATGTGTACCACCCATTATGGTCTGTCCACATCAGCTGGCATGATGTAATGGCCTCAGGACCATAGAACAGCACCCACTGCCAAGCTTAGGATGAATGTTCTCCACTTGTGTTAGGCTGTTTTTGATGCACTGCTGCCCATGTGAAAATGGCCATCTTTAAAAAGATGAAGAGTAGGTCTCAAAGCATCTGGGGGTGTGGAGATTCCACGTCTATGTTTAGGAGGAAGCAAAAACAAAAAATAAGGCTTGGGCTTTCTGTGGTCTATGAAAGGATGGAAGAATGAGAGAGCAAATCCAGGAGAGGAGTGACTGGAGGATAGTGTCCCCCCCCCCCCCCAAATTGAGTGAATGAAGCATGATAATTCCATGCTAGCAGGGAGGTACCCCACTTCCCCGAGGGTCCGTCAGCTCACCTCGTCTCTGAAGCTTCCATGGTGACATGGGCAGGGGAAGAATCATCAGGAAATGGAGAGAAAGGGAGGGGTAATAATCTCTGTCTGGGGAACTTGTGACTTTTCACCTGGGAGAGTTCTTTCCTTGTTCTCATGAGCCCGACCCTTCCCTTCTTGCCCTAGGCGCCAAATCACCGGACAGTCCTTTGCAGTGCAGATCTTCACTGGCACTTCACAGGGAACAAGACCGTGCAACTCTAAAAGCCCCCCAGCAAGCTGCGTGATAGCCTCTGCTCATGTAAAGAGTATGCCAGAGTTGAACCCCCACTGGGAACCCCCCCCCCCCCCCCCGTCCTTCACTTTCATAGTGCTGTGGCTGCACCCTCAGGGTGGCTCCTGCTGGTGGAGAGCTGGTCTGCGAGAGCCACACAAGCCCTCTACCTGGGTAGCTCTTCTCTCCCGCTGCCTTGTCACAAGGTCAGGCAAGGAAAAGGCTCCCCCTCCACTTCTGGCTCCCCTCCGGTCTCTTCCAAAACGTGCCTGCGCTCACGGTGGGCCTGGGAAACCGCAGGCAATGACCTCGATGGAGCGTCATAGGCTCCTGCCCTCCCTGTCTCCTCCTGCCCTCCCATCGCCTCTTCCGTGGTGTCCTCCACTTCAGAATCCAATAATGCAGGCCCTGGAAAGTTGGCAAAGAGTGGGCGTCTGGCCCACTCCTACACCCATACTTCTTCCTTCTCAAATCTGCATAGTGGTGCCCTCCCCTGATTTCAGCAGGCCTTCATGTCCAGCAGCCAAAGGTGGCCTGTCACAGCACCAAGCAGCCACCTTTCACTGCCACCATGTCACCACGGCCAGGGCCCTGTTCACCTGAGAGTACCAAATCCTAACATATTACAGGTGAAGTTCCTGGCCACAGAAGCCATTTGAAAATCCGTAGGTGCCACGATTGTATGGGTGGCAACGAGAAAGAGCGCAGTGTAAACTCTTGATCACGGTTGAAGATGATAACGCCAACCCTGACCCTCTGCTTAAAAGAGTCCCTAACCGTTCTGCTGCCACAAAGCCTGATTTAGACTCACAGCCATGCGGCAGAACATACCTAACCATGGGGAGAAAGGAAGCCACAGGTCCGTTAGCCTGTGATGGTCCCCCACAATGGCAGAGGAAAGGAAAATTCCCTAGCTGGAGGTGTCAGAGAAGGGAGTTGGGACCTTCTGAATGCAAAGCAGCTCCTCCAGCACACAAGCGAGCCCAGGCCCTGGCCCTTCCCTTATGGGCCACTGCCTGAAGCACAGTGGCTTCTGCCCCACAGCTCAGTCCCCCGAATACCCCCTGGCCAGCTCCTGCCACGCAGGGACCCCCGTCTCCTCACCTTCTTGCTGCTGCTTGTGTTCAGTGGAATACGCCTTGCCGATCATGGTCCACACAGGCTTGAGGCAACCGAACAGCCCTTCCAGGAAGCCGCTCCCTGTCTGGCAGTGGATCCGCACCTGGTCGGCGTGGTAGCGGGTGGGCCGCACCTCCGGATTCCCGGCCCCAGCCCCGGCCCCGCCGCCCCCGCCACTTCCCGCCTCGTTCTCGTGGAGCTGCAGCACGCTGTTGGCAAACTGGTCGTGCGTCTCCTCGCTGGGGGTGGGGCTGTGCCCACCGCCCCCACCTCCGCCCCCGCCCCCACCCCCATCGATCGGCAGCACGTCCCGCAGCACACACTGGGTGGGCGTGAGGTCCTTCTCGGGGGTGCAGTCCGAAGCATCGGGGTCCAGCTTGCGGAGGGAGCTCTCCGTCAGGATCGTGTTGAAGCTGCCAAAGGACGGGGAGGGAGTCCGAGTCTCATGCAGGCATGCCATGATGAGGCAGTTCTGGGTACTGTGCAGCCGGTCCCTAAGGGGCGCGTGGGGGGAGAGAGAGAAAGCGTCATGGGTGGGAGGGCTGATCACATAAGACAATCCGGCGGATTCTAGGCCACCTTGCAGATTAATACCAGCACCCTGAAGCAGAGTATCGGAAGGAAATGGGATCATGGTGACCTGTGGAGACCTTGCCAGATGCTGCCCACTGCTGAAGTTACGCCTCTTGTCCCGCCCTTGCCCCTGCCCCTGGCCCCGGCCAATCAAATCACAACCTCGGCTGCTACCAGGAATATTTCAGGGGCATCTTGCACCCAAGAGCATGTTTTTAAAACCCGGTGGTGGCTTCATGTGGTGCACAGCCCCTTTGGCTGCACTTGATTTACAGTGGTGGAACGGTGTGCAAAGTTTCTGCTGTGCACCACTTTTCTGCTGGGACTCCTACACGGGAAAGGGAGGGTCCCCGACGTGTTTTGTAAAGGCATGTCTGAAACACTGTGTGCAGGCAGGAGGGGAGGGGGTATTGTTGCTGTGGAAAATGGGCGACCTGGGATGGATAAAGCACCCCTTTCCCTTTGCATTTCCGCTGAGAATTGCTCAATCCTTAAGCAACTTTAAACTGCACAAAGCCTCGCTCAGCGCTTAGGTATCTATGCTCATGCGTAACACGTAGTGCAACTCTTAGAATGCTCCTGCTGGGAGGGTCGATGGCGTCTGAGCCCACATCAGAGGTTGTAACCCATGAGTGGGCCACTTAGGAGGCCTGCCCCCTGCCCCTCCATGCTGCCCTCCCTGGGGTACTCTCTGGTGCAGAGTAGCCAAAAAAATGCCCACAATAGCATTATAGGAGATGCTAAACTACACAAAGCTATATGGGTCAAGTCTGCCTTTAAAGCAAACTCAGCTCAGCTCATTTGGGCACTCAAACACTAACGTGGCCATTTGGGATATCAAAAAAGGTTCTTTTGGAGGCAGTGGCCACAGCATGTTGCCCCCCCCCCCCCCCGCTGAAAACCAGATTCCTGCTCTTCCTTCTACACTTCATATCCAAGCCACTGTTTGATGGATTCTTCAGGAGTTGCTGCTACTGTATTTATTTATTTGACAAGTTTTTTGACCTGGCTCCTTTCCCCTTGGGCTCAGGTCAGTAAAACAAGAAATGCACAGTGCAGGGCAGAATAAGATAGCCGTTACACCAAAGAACACTTTACGGTGCAACAAATCAAAATTACTCCACACCAGCTTAGCCATGGCCATGGAAAACCACAAACACCCGGCAGAGCAGAATGTTATTATTAGAGACAAGGCCAGGCTCCTTCTGGGTGCTGTCCGGGCATACCTGGCAAACAGGATGAGACGTGAAACTAAGTGAAAGCAACAGCTTTGCCCCTGAGAGGTCATGTCAGCAGCACTCAGCTATCTAGCCAAATGCCTAAATGCCATGAACAGAGATTGCTCATGATAGATGCCAACACTGCTACCTGTATTTTGCTCTTGTTGGAAATGCACAAAACTGTGGTACTCTTTATCCCTTGCTCCAAGTAGGGGCAGTGCCCGACCCCTTTTTTAGTGGAAGTTCTGCAACATGTTGGGATATCCTACAGTCTTAATTTGCTCCTCCTACGCCTCCCTGCTTTGCAATACACAAGGGGGAAACTAAACTAAAAAGAGGTAATATTTATGCAATAATGGCAAAATCCAAAGAGCTAAATCCGTACAAATTGATAATTATAACTTGAAATATTGTGGGAAAATAGGGTTGGCCCAAGAGGGCAAAGCAAGCACCTGATGCGAAGGCTGCAAAATTCTGCAGCACCCTCGTGAGATGTCCACAGAGCTCTTTGTGCTGATGGCCCCTAATAGGGCAAGACCCACAAAGTGGAAAACTTCAAAACTTTTCACACCGAAGCCTTGGGATATGGAACTGTAGCAATCGCCATGGCAGAAAAACTGAGGCATCATCTTAAATTAACTAAAGGTAAAATTAAAGTATCTGATTTTTATACAATACGGCATGCTTTTATTTCATATACAATCAGTGGCATATGCAGGAAGATTGATCAAAGCCTTTCCTCTGACCAAGGAAAAGAGGCTAAATCTAATTTGCTATCACACAGAATTATTTTAAAAATCCCAAACCACCTCCTGGAAATGTGACAAAGAGTATCAGGAGAGCTTGTTGGATGGGGCTGAGCTGGGGCATGATCCCCCAGAAAAACCTCATTAGTGTAGACTAAACATTTGCCTATCAAGATCCAGGAGATGAGATCCTAAATTATTTCAATAGCCAAGTCCTGCAAAGTGGGGGGAAATCTGCCAGAACAGGTGAGCAGGAAAACAAAGTACATGTTTTGTTGAACTTAACACATTCCCTACAAACCACAGAAGGCAAGCCACACAGGAATACCTTTTAAAGAAATTGTGTCAGCCCTTGCATAAGAAATGTTCAATTGTCTGTTTGTTTTGACATCAGTGAGAGCCAGTGTGGTGCGGTGGCTTGAGTGCTGGGCTGGGGACCTGGGTTCAAATTCCCACTCAGCCATGGAACTCACTGGGTGACCTTGGGCCAGTCAATCACTCTCAGAAAGACCAACCTCACAGCGTTGTTGTTGTGAGAATAGCATGGAGTGGAGGTGGACTATCAGGGGAGATATCAATGCAAGGTCATCGTCATCATCATGAAATCCGAGACCAACTTTGTGAACAAGCTTGCTCCCTCCTCCTCCTCAACATCAAATTAATAGCCCCTGCAAAACATTGCGTGTGTACAAGCCCTTATTCCCCCTCCCTTTCTTCCCCAGAGGGGCCTTTGCACTCCTTCTTCACACACTCCAAGGCTGCCAGCCTCTCTGCCTCCTCTCTCCCCCATTTCTGGCTTCCTCTCCTAAACTCCCTTCCATCTCCTTACTGACCATGCTATTTTTCTCTCCTTGTACCTTCTCAAAGCCGATTCCTTTTTTCCTGCCCCATCTTAACTGCTATTCCACAATGAACAGATACATCAGTCTTGCACATTTCCTGCTAGTCCTGATCCATCACTGACCTCTCCCCCCACCTCCCCTCTCCTGTCCATCTAAAGTAGATCACCAGGCATTTGGTGCAGCCCTCGCAGCAAGTACGAAGTCCAAAGCCATCCTCATTTAATGAACATTAAACAGGGCTGCTAGGCAAACTCATACGCTTTCTTCTAACCTAGCTTCCCCGGAAGCAGAGTCACAAAAGTAGGTCTCTAAAAGGGGCTTAAAATATAGGAGAATGAAAAGAAATCTTATCAAAAGAGATTTGAGACAGTAAAAGCAATGCTGGGGGTGGGGGAGGTTAACATGGAAAAAGCCATAAAGACATTTCTAAGAGCCCCAACCAAATGCATTGAGTAGGAAGATGGAGCACCTGGACTGGAACAAATGGGGAACTTAATGGGAGACCAGAAGAAAAGGGAGACAAGAAGACGAGACCTTTAGAAAGGACACTAAGAAGCTTTAATGTAATACAGTGCATGGCAAAGCCAACAAAGATGGTCTTAAAAGTGCCAAGGGGATTACACTGCCAAAGCAGGGAACAAGAAAAGGAAGTTTAGCCTCAGAAAATGAAGGCAGATGTAACAATAAATGGACTCACAGCCCATTGCTAAGGTGTGGAGTGAACCCTTCATGTTTTGTTTGACAGATGTCTGTAATGGTAATCAGAATGCTGGTTCAGCTGCAGGTTCTGCCTTTTCTCACCTGTGCTTGAATCTCCTTTTTAAAATGTGTTTTAGTCTGGAAGCCTTTTGTGTGTGTGCGCGTGCGTGCGTGCACATATGCAGACACACACAAATGCATGTATGTACATATGAATGATATATAGTTAACAAAATGCTACCATTTAAAAGAAAAAGGCTGCATGCACATTGACTTGTTGGTCACTTTGTGAATATCTATTTAAAGGAGAAATGTTAATATTGAGCATTAATGGATAACAGAGGACCAAAGAACACATTATGATAAAGATATAATTTATGACTGCTTGTAACTTTAAAAAAACAATAATAATGGGAGACCTGATCAGGATCAGAATGATGGTGTACAGAGGTTCAGCTGGCTGTAACCCAATGAAAATTCTCCCCTGTTAAGCTGCTGTTAGCCCTGAGGGATGCTCCCATTGGTGCCTGATGGTCAGAATGTCACCCGTCAATCATGAACTGATTGATTGTATTTCTATACCACCTTTCTGGAACCAACGGTGGCAGCTCACAGAAATTCTGAAACGAAAGACCATAAACAAAGAAAAACCTACTAAAATATTAAAAACAACTTTAGAGCTCATAACAATTAAAAAAAAGCAAAGGGGAAAAGGCATGCCTTGACCCCTTTCTTGCCTGCAAAGCCAGAAGGAAAAACAAAGGAACAGATTCAGGATGTTTGATTTCTAATGAGAAACAGAAGATGATGGGCGTATGCTGGAAAGAAAAGAATTAATTCAAAGTGTACAGGGCAGTGAAAAGCAATGACAGTGGTACAGAACAGAAGGAGATTAAAAAAAACACACAGTGGGGAGCAGCCTTTTCAGTGGAACATCTGTGTGTCAAGGCTGCATGATAAGAGACTGTGGAGAAGCGGTTTTGTTGGCTGTGGAACATCCTTTTGTGGGAGATCAAGGCCAGTCTTCTACAAAACGCAAAGGAGACACTGCATCTGAGCCTCACCTTCCATGGGCCACAAGGTACCGAAACCGTATTATGCCCCAAGACTGTCCCCATTATTACTGTAAAGAAAGCTCTCTCGCTATTTTAGAAAGTGTACAAAAGTGAGATACAACATGCCAGTCTTTTGAGAAGGAAAAGAGAGCCAGGCTGATGAAAAACTATGGACCAAACTAATGAAAGATGGAAAACATCTTTATAATTACATAGCACATATTTACATGAGTGCATCTGCTAAGCTGGATGACAGGGTCCACAAACATGAAGAACCCTTTAGCTTTTACATGGCGCTTGCTCACTTTCACACAGATTATCTCAG